TGGAGATCTGCCGCTCTCACGTAACTCGTGGCCGATCAAGAACGCAACCCATGGCACAGAAGCCCCGCGTTACAGAGATCTGGTAAAACAAGCTGAGCATGAAGCCGCCGAGTTCGCTCTGAAATATCTTGAATATAGCCTGTCAAACAACTCGGAGGTGTGAGCCATGGCAAGTGAGGGTGGAAATAGGTGCTTAGTAGCTACCCGTCCACGCACTTCGGAGTTGGTTACTTAGAGCAATTGGAACGAGATTGGACCGTAGTGTGACGTATTCGATGAAGCTTGGCCTGAAAAACCAGTTCTAGCGTAGGTCATCGCAGAGGCGGTTCAGAATTTTAGTGGGATATAGCAGAACATCTTACAGTGTCTGTCTATTTGCGCGCACATAGCTGCCGTACAACGTCTGCAAGACTGCCCTGAGTGACTTCTGCCGTGTTAGAATGCATAATCTCAGAGCCGTAGCCGAAGCTCAGGATTTGCCTTTTTGGAATATCCTTGGACAGGAACTCTTTCAGCCAGAGCACCCAGAACCCGATTATCAGAACCGCAATGACTGACGAACCGATATATCAATGTGCTTCGCCCAGGGAGTGCGCAAGTCAGCGCCTACGAAAAATTCTGGTTCTATGGAGAAGGTCTTCAGAAGGGAGCTCCGATGCTCCAAGTGGATGACGGCACGTCCTCTATCACACTTGATGACCCAGCTCGTATCGTGAGTTACTGTGCCAACCTGGTTAGTAGTAGCTGTGGTCCCGGGTCACGGAGGATCGGGGAAGGCATGCTGACACGCTGAGATGCATTGATGCCATCTGCAACATTATTCTCATCTGTATTATTATGATATCCAACCCTTTCCAAAAATCATCGCCATGGGTGCGGTCGAACATAATGAGGTAGGAAGAAAGCAATCAAATTGGTTTCATCGACAGGTTCTCGCCCAAGTGATCTGCCGTCTGCCAGAGAGGCCTTGTGTCATGACTTCCTGGGACATGGGATCGCAGCGCATGCTTGTATTTATTCGGACCGATCGGATTACAGAGCTCGTCCTCCTTCAGCCGCTCTTGGCAACACTCTGTTGCCAAGAGAGGCTTTACAAACAAGGGAACCGGAAGGAGTGTCTACCCCAGGCTTGCGCGGCTTTTTCGTGTAAGCCACCTGACAAGGAGCTGATCGAGGTGGATGGCGACCTGAGAACCATCCTTCAAGAAGGAGCCAGCGAGGCAATGGGAGCGATCTCCGTTTACCCAGAGAGTATCGTATCTGTGAGCTGTTCGAATCTCATCTACAGACAATCCGAAGAAAAGCTCGCTGGGGGCGGTGGATCGCAAAAAAATCCCGCGGAAAGTCTCGAACTAGTAGGAAGCGGCGTACTGCTAGGTATCCAGGAGCGCGAAATACCACTTCTACTGACTCTTCGGCCCATGGGGATGTCAACGAGTCTCCCCATTATACAAGTGTCGGTTTCCACACATGGACTACTACGGGGGCTACAACCTTGTTCAAAAGGAGCATCCTCTCCACAGAGTCTGATTATATGTTAGCATCACTCATACAGTCTCAAATAATCTTCGCTCCTCCTTACACGTACGTAATTTCAGTGTGCGTTTTGAACCGGCAGCCTGTACCCCATGCCCCCGTCCCCCGTCCCCCGTCCCGCCTGCCCCATTGTGGTTTTGCTACACGTCCTTCGATTGGATCTGCCTCAATCGGTAGCTTCAGATCCGGTCACCATACCTGCAGTGCCTGCTGCCTGATGTGCTCCTCTCTCAGTTTCAGCGGCCGCAGAAGCGTACCTAGCTGGATTTAGCTTGGAACGCAATCCATTCATGAACGTTGATATAGAACATATTTACAATCGTATCTTTCACGGTTTCCATGCCCAGAAGCTCGAAGGACCACTTATGCCCCGAGACAAGCAAGAGGAGGTCATCATCAACATAGGCAGCGATGATGACGATGCTGCCAATGAAGACGCATGGATCGAATTGCGCCTGGCGGAATCAGTTGTTTCTTCTTGTTCAGACTGACCTTGTGAATTCGTCAACTTTCTATACTCCAGGGACCCAAGTTATATCGAGGACTTCCGAAGGAGCCGCGGAAGTGATCTGGGCACTGCTATCAGTTAGCTGATACGCTCTATCTTTCCAAACTAGAAATATTATTACGCTTCCCATATCCGTAACTCATTGAGCAACATCGTCGTCTTTTGGGTCTGATCTGCAATTGGGCCCTGTCATATACTCCCCCCACCGCCATCCTGCCTGAAGGTCCTACGACAGGGACCCTCTCAGGAGATCCCGTCCCTGCCACTCGGGCCACTTCTTGATCTTAGGTATATGTTAGCATCTATCCCTTAAAGGAGCACCACATATCCAATGGCATTTTCTCACCGGGTCATCGTTCGCGAGGAAACGCTCAAAATCGGCAGGACCGACATGAATACAGCGTCACGAGTTCACTCGGGTCAGCTGCGTTCGAAACTGAGGCTCTATGTTTGCCTCTTGGATGAAGGTGATGTCCAAGAATCCATGAAGGCTATTGCGACCTGTCCGACTATAATGACCAACGCCCCCTCCGTAAATGTGCTAGTCGATCCACGCGCTCTTTCCGCGAGGTCTCCTATCTACCAACACCTGTTGACAGCACGCAAGACAACCACCAAAATCAATTTCTACCATTCGCACGATGGCAAGTTATTTATTCGCGACCAGGAGCTGGAAGAGACATTGGACGCAGAATCACAGCGTGGGCCTAATCGAATGCTGCATAGCCCCTGTTCCGCCCGACACACTACGCCGGAACAAATGGCAAAGGAAGTTCAGCGACCTTCACAGAGTGCTTCCTGAGGGTGCATGGCAAGATCTATGGATCTACTAGACGAGAGCTATTCTTTCGGGGTTGACGATATAGGCACAAAGACACAAAGCAAGTGGGGTACGAAGGATGGTCCCGGCGGTTTTTTGGGGGTTGCTGGTCTATAGTTGTTGCTCCTACATGGCCTAATGGCCCACATAATGCACTCAGATCACACGCATACTCTAGGTCATCTCCCACACAGGAACTCGGTCCTACCCTCATATATTGTCCACCGTGTAAGTGAAATCGCCTACAAAAAAAATCCAGGCTCCGGACGACGTTGGGAGTAGAGTGACAAAGCCAGAGAGGAGGTATGCAGAGCGCAAGAGGACAGTCCCACGGTGTATCCCGAGCAAAGGATAATTTGAGAGCAATTAGAAGGTACTGTGGATTAGTGATCATGTACATGTAACAGCGTTTGCCGGGCACAAGGGCAGCAGTCAGGGCGGAGCAGAAGCAAGCGACGTAACGTCGACAGTGCGCACATGGCCGGTAACCTGGTAGAGAGGGATGGCACAGGCATGAGCGCAGACGGGAGGGTATTAGGTAGGAATTGACATGGCAAAAAAAAGGTCAGGACAGAACTCTCTGTTGCTCAAACAGGTGTACTCTTCGTATCACTGGCAGATGTGGAGCGAGGGAGAGCAGATTGGTGCGCTTCAGTGGATGCAATCAAAAGCAACAGCGATCCGGGATCCAGGGTAGAAAAGGCATCTCAGGCCGTTCTAACTAATTAAGAGCAGCAGCCAGATGCAGGATTGGGTCAGGGATGGCCAAGATAGGAGATGCAAGAGGAATTTCATATGTAGGTGGTGCAGGGACTAGAAGCATTAGAGCGAGCATGTTATATCATAAACAGCTGGCATTATGGTAGTGGTGTGTAGACGTGGTGTGTAGACATGGCGTGGTATATTATAGTAGTGTATGTGCTATGTATGTACCATGTAGTATAGTGTCGTGTACCGTGCAGCAGTTCACTGTCCCATCCATCGCTTTTCTTTTTACCTTTCCTCTGGCTCCGGCTTGCTCCCCGCCGAAAGAATGATTGACAGCCTATAAGAATGATAAACAGACCAACAGACTGACTGACATGATTCACGACTCCTGGTGAACCGCGGCTAAAGGCGATCAGCGGCCTTGCTTCCAGTTCCATGGGTTTTCCAGGAGATATGTGTGTGGCCTCGCTTTTGGGAGGGTGCCCGCAGATTCGAGTTTAATCATCATCATACAGTACATCCATAATACCTCCCCGTGGATGTAGCCGCAGGAGAACTCCTCGGCGGATTTTACCGCCCATTGCGTGCGCGTGTGCCCTGCCTGTGCCCTGTGCCCGCCGCATTCCTATCCAGTCATTCTGATAGATTATGCCGTGGCCTAATTGACGATAATGATAATACTGCTGAATCCAACACCCATACCACTGTAAATCGGGCATAGCATTTGATAACTCTGGACGTGCGCTGTGGGGTAAGCAAACGTGGCCCGCTTCAGCTTTCCCTCTGACAGTGAGCGTTCTGTTACTACCCTTTGGACGACTCTCAGGTTGGTCTAGGACATAAGGCTCGTGACCATCACTCATCGATATCGCAGACAAGTACGGTGGATTTCCCGTCTACGTCTTAGGGCTGGCTTGGTTGGCGCTATTCTCGGGTCTTGCTGGGCTCTCACAAAATGAGATTCTCCTCAACATCTACCGGGCCCTGCAAGGGCTTGGCCTGGCCGCGTCTCTACCATCCGGTCTTATGCTCATAGGCAGGTATATTGACGCGTCTGCAAGAAAATCGAATCGCATAACGTGGTCCAAATGGAGCTCTGCTGCTCCTCGAATTCAGCCCAAGGCCGAAGGTGACGTGGTCGTAATTTACGCTGGGCATTGCTTGGATCGCCTTGAGTGGAACGTGATGCATCAGTTTGTACTGTGAATCCTAAGGAGAGATGGGTGTGACAGGTGTGGAGGTATTCCGGAAGTGTTGTCTTTTGGGTCTGTTCTTCGGCATCATCGCGTTTTCGTTCTGCTTCCTTTTGGGCGCGTTCTGCCTTTTCGCGTCGTCGTTGCTCCTTGGGAGCCCGTGCAGGACCAGAGGCCACTGGCCCTGGGGATTTAGCCCTGAGGCGTTAATTGTCTGATAACAAATCATATAGAATAGGAATGTATCTTTACAACTCAACTAAGCATGATATACCTACAGTATACCGCGGACCGATTTTTATAGTCGCATACTTGTACCCCTCTGCCTTACTTTCAATTCAATGTCTTGCGAATTATATACTCCCTCTGTGAACCTATCCTCGAATTCCGTACTTAAATCGGTATCACTAGCGTGGATCCCAACGTTTGTGAAATATATTTCGTCTTTGCTTTTGATGACTGCTTTTCGAAGAGCGTTCTCGAAAGTGGGTGAGCCACAGACTATTCAATTAGTATGGCAAATGCATGAGAAGTAATTACGTACCTGAGATTGCCATACTGCCAGCTTCTGCATGCTCCTCGCCTATAATAGTCCTTGAAAAATCTAGCTTTTCATGCATGACGTAAAGCCCTCTACGTCCCTCCTGCACATCGCCCTCAGCTTCGTATGGTGCATATAAGCAGACGTTGAATATATGTCTCTTCTCTTTGTCATCGAGCATTGAGATAGGTATCAACCAATTCTCTCTGACCTACGACGCGTTATTTAAGTTTACCTTTGTCTTCTAGAAACCATATAAGAGTGAGGCGTCTAATCCGAGCTGTCAATCGATGGTTGGCGTAGAGTAGACTTTTAATGGTTAGGAGATGTGCAGCAATCCCAATTCCTTGCGCAAAGAATATGACTTTATCGTAATTCCCGAGGTCATAAGGACTGCCATATTGCCCATCAAGAATAAGCGTTGATTGAGGCGTAGAGGTGATAAGGTGATTACTGAATCCAGATTGTCGGGATACCAACAAGATTAGGTCTTTGTTTGGTAGTTGCCAGGCTATCAGATACGGATGCGACTGTAGAAACCCAAAACGGCGACGTGCGATACCAGGCATCGAAATATAAACGTATTGACCTGGCTTGACTTGCCATGTCTTCTTAGGGCTGATGAAGACCTTAAATACCGCTGTTGAATTTCCTTCGGTGTTACTTAAGCTCTGTATTAAAACCCTGTTCTGAGAATGACCTAGGTGAATAGCCCAGAAGGCGCTGGTCATAGACAGAGCCACTAGTGAGCTCGTTTTCGCGAGGCTAATATGTGTACAGAGCTATTACTAGATCAGTTGGCACTGAGAAAAAATTCGAAAGACTTACTAATATTTCGCGGAGAGTCATCCGCCACCGAGATTGAGAAAGCTGATATATTCCATGTACGAATCCTAGTCCAACGAAACCTCGACCGGTCCATTTATGAAATAGATGGTAGATACCAAGGTCAAATTTGAGAATTCGGTCTACAATAAAGCTTGTGCGACCTCCTAAGTATAATGGTATGAGGTTAACCAGAGAGTATGTTTGCGGCGGCATAAAGACATAAAAATATGCCATGAATTAAGGTAAGATGGGAGGATCCTCTTCGACGTGTTAATTGCCAGCGCGTATGAGACTAGAATGTCCCATGGTAGCGAAGACATGTCGCCAAACCCCCCCAGGCGATGATCGCTGTGATACGGCAACGTCTGGCGAGTCGTGACCTCGCCGATGTCAGCATCGTACTAGGGGGGGTCCGGTAAGAGGGCGTGCCTGTTGTGGTGGCCGCGAAACCGGCGACAGATCGTAGAAAACTGGGAAACACTCCAGGGTTAAATAATGGATGCTATTTCGCCCTTGAGACCGGTACCGTGTGCGAGTAGCCGTCACTGCTGGCATGTCGGCGCCGTCATGCTGTCTCTTTGAAAACGGAAACCTCCAGAATTCTCAGTCCGGGCCCTCGCTTCTCGCATTCTCACACTTCAAATGTCGGTGAAGACTTTGAGAACATGTCCTCGTCGATAGATCGCAACGGGTCATTACTAATGTAGTACCTCTAGATCATACCCCCTCACATAAACCCCGACGGCCAGTTTCCGTCCCTGAGGTAACAACCGCAAATAACGCCGAATCGCGGCTGTTGAAGACAAACACCAGGAAAATGCATATGCAGATAGCTGAAAGTATAGATAATAGAGGGCATCGCTCATTGTCGCATGAATTGACGAAAAAAAAATAGTCGCTATTCGGGTACTCGTATTGATCCTGCGATCTCTTGTGGCCTGGCGATATCGGCCACGCCCTGGCCGCATCGCTGCGAGGGATAGTAGGCTTGGGATAACAGCTCCGGTCAAAGCCCTAGAACAGATTGAAAGCCGAGATATGGCACAGGATTGTTGGTTGATGTCTCCTGAAATGACCTTCTTGTGAGATGGAGTATGCAGGCTTGGTCTCGCCGTCCTATTTCACCAACCCTTGCGTCGTCGCTTGCCTTCCTCTCCATCATCGTCGTCACTACTATTCGGCGCTCGTTTTCGTGCTATTGCTTTATCTTTGCCTTTCTTACAGACGCTATCGTGGTTCGTGTCGCAGTATGCGCGTACTGGCGGATATCATGTAGAACATCTCCCCTACTGATGACCCGATCGTTTTAGGGGAAGCGTCCGATGGAATACTTGCATCGAGTAAAACGATAGGGCTCTCCCGGTCTTCATTATGTCATAGAGTCCTTTGTTAAGATCGTAAAAGAGATAGATAATAGTTAGTATTAGTTAGCTAGATAAATAGTAATAATTCTAAAAGTTATTATTATAGTTAGTAGCTCTATAATAGGACGGGCTAAGGTAGAAAATCCTTTACCAACTGCTCATCTAAAACCTCAATCGATACAAAAGATGTCCCCCCGGCTTCGTTCCAAAACGATCTACCAAACCCATCTCTTTGAATTAGTTCTGCAAAATGCTTTGATGGGATCGAGTGTATCCCTTCAATTATCTTATTGGCATCTGGAGCGGGTGAGGGTATAGAGACCTCTTGACCGAATGACTTAATCATGTCGTCCAATCTCTTTGACAGCCTTAATGAAATGAATGGTGGGAACCCTGGCAGACTACCGAGCCATATATCGCCTAGGATACTGCTGGGTCCATTGATAATTATGTCTTGAATATAGCTCTTGTCGAACTGAATCGCCCCTTCGATATGTTAGTTGACAAAGGTTCCGCTACGGCTATGGACTTACCAAGTACGCTCGCAGAAACTGTAGGAACCGCAGGAAGAACTGACTGCTGACCTATTACAATCAGCAGGTATCATTGAACATGGGCATTCAGTCTACTTATGATGTCAGAGACCGGCGCGATGAGGTTTCCCACAGTGACATTTAAGTCTTGCCGACTAGCTGTACCACGCTCATTCAACCCGTCTGTAGATCTGCTCCCCGAAAAATGCTTTTGAAACCGCTTGCTACCATGGCATGTATTGTCTTCAATTGAATCGGCATCATTCGCTAGCTCCGAATATGGTCTTTTGGTGCCAGGCAGGCTTATTGCATTTTCTGTCGGGTTGGGTGCGACTGAATGGAAATTGCAGCCGCTGTGAGATCCGTGAATTCGTGACGGTGTGGTGCTTATGCAGACTCTAGTTAGACTTGAGGATGAATCGTCAACGAGTCGCGGAGTATCTACCACAACTGTAGTTGAGACGTTGGCTTGAGAGATATCACCATCATTTTGCATCCGTTGCCTTGTATTGGCATTCAAGTTCGATCCACTTTCTAGTACAGAACTTTGTGTGGGACAAAGGTTTGGATGCATGCTAGCAGCTTTACTATGCCGAATGGAATGCTCTGAAAGCCCAGAAGCTGCTTTATCAATGGTCGATGGGTTGCGTGCGCTACTGGTGTCAGCTCCTTCGTCAGGCGGCGTCGATGGTGCAGTAGATGGACTGGCACGGCTTGAGTCCGCGGAACTGCTCACAATGCCAGGTGAGGTTGTGAGGTTAAGTTTAAAACTGTCTCCGGTAGCTTCTATTACACGAGTGAGAGAGTGGTTCGACATCGAATTCAAACTCCCTTGGCTGGATGTGTCGATGCCCCAGAAAGCAGAGGTAAGCGGCCCGAGAGAATCCTTGGTCTCTGGGAGGTCGAGCTTGGCTAGCTCCTTTTCAACAACGGAGCGCATGAATTTGAAAGCTTCGTCAGTCATGCGCTCCCAAGGCCATGGGCTTCTCATTTTACAACTGATGTACACTGTGCCTGCGACGCCAAGTTCCTTGAATCTAAGACCGCACCTCCGCGTTAAAGTCTCTTTGTTCAAGGCTTTTTCTTCGTGTGTAGTCCTTGCCTTGAGTCTGACGCGCTTGTTTTGGGCGGTAGGTTCAGTATCAGTCGCAAAGATAAGTATCGTAACCGCCTCGCGTGCGCCTGTATTCCGAACGCTCTGGGTCAGCCGCTTCAGAATCTCCGTTCGACGCACATCATCGGCTTCCGGCCTCCCACTGTTAACATGGTCATTTTTCCAGAAGCTCCTCGGATCTTCTTGTATCGTGAGGAGAACCTTCCGAACATGAGCTTTGTCCTCTAGAGAAGTAGGAAAAGCTTCTTTAGCAGCCCTAACACAGTAAGAAGAGAATTTGCTGTATGAGGCTTGTGCTGGTGTTGATGATGCTGGTGCTGGTGCTGGTGCTGGTGCTGGTGCTGGTGCTGGTGCTGGTGCTGGTGCTGGTGCTG